GTAGGTTTATGAAATATTCATTACATCCCATATATTATCATGATTATATTATTTAATTTCTTATCAGGCCAGCAAATTATATGTTACAAATTAAATCCTTTATATAATAATCATGCACTTAATTATTTGAAAAATTTAAATTAGAAGTATATATTCCTTTAAATTTCTAAGTCCAAAATTCCACTGGAATATTTGCATTAAATCAAAACTCCACTGAAATATAAACAATAATATTCCACTGGAAATTAATTGGAAAATCTTTGGAAGTTTCATTGGAAATTTCACTGATTTTCCATTGGAATTACAGTGTGAAAAATATTCCAGATGTTTTGGATGAAATTCTAATGGGATTCCATCGGAATATTTTTTTCCACTGAATACCAGTGTAATTTCACTGGAAATCCAGTGGAATCCCATACTCATTTTCAGTAGGGATGGTCCTAGACCTAACTTTTGATAACCCTTTTTTGTGTTTAAAGAATATTTCCAAAAGAATTTTAGGTTAAAAATTGAGAAAAACTGTGAATTTCTGATGGTAACCATGGTAACTAGTACTGGACCCGTATCTATTAAAATTTTTAAGATAAAAGGCAAAAATAAAACTAGAGGCTCTAAAGAGCCTGTGTCATGTGTCGCTCACTTTCATGACTTTGGTCATTGTGCATACATTCTTGTAGACGAGAATAGAATTCATGACAAAAATCTCTCTTTTGTTGATCTTGTATTGCTGATCATTAAATCTGTTTAGTTTCTCTCTATCTTCTTTAGTTTTTGCTCAAAACACAAAAGAGGGTAAAACAAATCTGCATTTAAGGGCAATCATTCCTATAAAGAGTGACAGTCTACTAACTATATCAGCAAACTTTGACTTGTTAATCATGTTAATAGATATTGCCTTGCTGATCATTTTTGTGATTAAAAGTGTCCATTTATCTATTATAATTTTTATCATATAAGGCAAAACACAAAAAATTGGTGAAAATAGTCATTAAAGGGCAATAACCCCAATAAGGAGTGGTCTTATGATTTCCTCCGTATTGTCTTGATTGTATGTCTTGTCTTGCTAATCAGTTTTCCTTATTTTAGTTTCTATCTATCTATTATAATTTTTTAAGATATAAGGCAAAAATGCAAAAAAATGGTAAAAATCATCAACGAAGGGCAATAACTCTAATAAAGAGTTGACTGACAATTTCGACCATGCAGACTTATTTGTAGAACTTGTCTTGCTGATCATTTTTGCAATCTAAAGTTTCTCTCTTTCTGATTATAGTTTTCAAGATAATAGGCAAAAATGAAAAAAAATAAACTGTTTTCATAGAGATATGTCTCGCCTTTTTGTAATTTTGATAATGAAAATGTTGAAATTAAATAGCAATACTTTACCATGTAAGTTATGCAAATATTCAAAGTCAATGAACCATGACTGAAGGTACATGGCTAAACAATCTCCAAGGAATGAGATGTGCCAATGCTAATACAACTGCATACCAAATACCATTGACTTATTATAAGTCATTCCCTTTAAACAAACCTAAACACAAACATTAACTTGTCAACTATGTAAAAGTTTCAAAGTCAATGAACCATGATCAGGGGTGGGGCTATATAATTTCCATGGAAACAATACTTGCAAATGCCAGTAAAATTTGCATACCAAATATCATTGACTTAACATTAGCAGTTCATCTTAAACTGATCTAATCACAATCTAATACATGTAAACTAAGCAAAAGTTTCAAAGTAAATAGACCATGACTGAGGATGCGGGGCCAAATATTCTCCATGGAAATGAGATGTGCTAATGCTTATACAACTGAACACCAATTAACATTGGTCTACCACTATAGACTTTGAAAATTTTGCTACGTTAACATGTATTAGTTTGTGATTAGGTCAGTTCGAACCCTTGAACTGACCTAATCACAAACTAATACATGTTAACGTAGCAAAATTTTCAAAGTCTATAGACCATGACTAAGGGGGCGAAGCCAAATAATCTCCATGGAAATGAGATATGCCAATGCTTATACAACTGCATACCAAATATCATTGACCTACCACTAGTGGTTCCCCATAAATTGACCTAATCACAAACTAATACATGTAAACTATGAAAAGTTTCAAAGTCAATAGACCTTGACTGAGGGTCGGGGCCAAATAATCTCCATGGTAATGAGATGTGCCAATGCTAATTCAACTGCATACCAAATATCATTGATCTACCACTAGTGGTTCACCATGAACTAGACCTAATCACAAACTAATACATTGTTGACGCCATCGCCGCTGCCGACGCCAAAACAGCATACCTATGTCTCGCTTTTTGACTACGTCAAGGCGAGACAAAAATGGTAAAATTTGTCATTTAAGGGCAATAACTCCTGTTTAATCTTGGTGGCAAACTGGTCATCACAGATTGACTTCTTTGCCTGTCATTAAAATCTTCATGTATGTAAAATCTGTGTTTAGTTCAACACCTTTTTAATTTGAAAATACTTGCATCCTTATAGTTGTAATCTGAATTGAACATTTGTTGAAGGACAAAGTATAGGAAATTTTACATCAATGTGAGAGATTGTGAAATAAATACAAACACATGTTCTAAGCTAACAGTAGAGTCGGCAGAACTGAAGTTGGAATGATAGAAGAAAAGAATAGCCATATCATACTGTAGAAAGGCTGTTAAAAGGAAATTAAAAGTTTTGGTTTCAAAGTGCAACAATATGAACCAACAGCAGAGTCCTTCAATTGAAAATCAACCCCATTTGTTTTCTCTTCATATGAATATAACTAGAGGCTCTCAAGAGCCTGTGTCACTCACCTGTATTTACTGATGCTTTGGAAATCATGTAAAATAAGGTTAAAATCATAATCAATAGTATTAGATATTAGATATTATAATGATATCTAAGATAATAACAAAAAACTGCAAAATTTCTGTAAAATTAATAACTCAGGGGCAGCAACCCAACAATGGGTTGTAGGATTCGTCTGAAAATTTCAGGGCAGATAAATCTAAATCTGATGAACATTTTTGAAAATGATTCTTTGGGGGGGGGGGGGGGGGGGGGGGGGGGGGGGGGGGATTTCTTGGATTTTCCCCACCTGGGGGTTAATTTTATGATCATGGATTTTGTAAACAAAATGTCTGGGAGTAAAAAACTAGAGGCTCTCAAGAGCCTGTGTCGTTCACCTGTATTTACTGATGCTTTGGAAATCATGTAAAATAAGGTTAAAATCATAATTAATAGTATTAGATATTAGATATTATAATGATATCTAAGATAATAACAAAAAACTGCAAAATTTTTGTAAAATTACTAACTCAGGGGCAGCAACCCAACAAAAGGTTGTCGGATTCGTCTGAAAATTTCAGGGCAGATAAATCTAAATCTGATAAACATTTTTGCCACCTATCAGATTTGCTCTAAATGCTTTAGTTTCAGAGATATATACCAAAAACTGCATTTTACCCCTATGTTCTATTTTTAACCAAGTCGGCCATGATGGTTGGAAGGCGGGGTCATCGGACAAATTTTTTAAACTAGATACCCTAATAATGATTATGGCTAAGTATGGTTAAATTTGTCTCTGTAGTTTCAGAGAAGAAGATTTTTGTAAAAGATTACAAAAATTTACAAAAAATTGTTAAAAATTGACTATTAAGGGCAATAACTCCTAAAGGGGTCGACTGACAATTTTGGTCATGCAAACTTAATTGTAGATCTTACTTTGCTGAACATTATTGCTGTTTACAGTTTATCTCTATCTATAATAATATTCAAGATAATAACCAAAAACTGCAAAATTTCCTTAAAATTACCAATTCAGGGGCAGCAACCAAACAACAGGTTGTCAAATTTGTCTGAAATTTCAGGGCAGATAGATCTTGACCTGATAATCAGTTTTACCCTATGTCAGATTTACTCTAAATGCTTTGGTTTCAAAGATATAAGCCAAAATCTTCATTTTACCCCTATGTTCTATTTTTAGCCATGGCGGCCATCTTGGTTGGTTGGCGGGGTCATCGGACACATTTTTTAAACTAGATACCCTAATGATGATTGTGGCCAAGTTTGGTTAAATTTGGCCGTGGTTTCAGAGGAGAAGATTTTTGTAAAAAGCTCACGACGACGGACGACGACGACGACGCCTAAGACGATGACGACGACGGACGACGGACGCCAAGTGATGAGAAAAGCTCACTTGGCCCTTTGGGCCAGGTGAGATAAAAAGGAGGGAAGGGAAGTAGGAGTTAGGAGAGGGAAGGAGTTAAGGGGAAGGGAAGTGGGAAACAGGGATCCCCTGTCCACCCACTCATCAGTGATGAGCTGAGGTGGGGGGGGGGGGGGGAGTTTCAAGAATGTGAACATTTTGAAATTTTGATATAGTCTAGCTATGATCTCAATTTTTTAAACACAAATTAAAGTCTAAAAATGTTTGTTGGAAGTATTTTCCATGGTTTAAGCTTGTCTGAAAATTTCTAGGCAGACTGACCAAAAATAAACTGTCTTTAGAAATCATTATGGGGGTCTCATTGGGGGGTTCTGATCCCGGATCCCGCTTACTGTTTTGTCAGATTCCAGTATCCCGCTTACACTATGTACGTAGGCAATTCTCATTTTTTTGTAATTTCCCGTATCCCGCTAGACTTCATTTCCCGTTTTCATGGCACAATAATTTGACTTTCACGTGTCACGCTTACAAAAAATCGGCAATCCCGCGTCACGCTTAGACCCCAATGAGACCCACCATTATGCATAAACAAACTTTTTGTAAAATACATTTTAAAATTAAAATAATTTTCATTTATAGCTGTAGACCATTTCATAAGATTTAAAAATCCGTTGAACTATATTGACTTCATCGTTTATGTGTACTTCCGCGTTTTAGACCCTCCCCAATATAAATGTGATGTTTGACTCATGGTAAAGGACCCATCATAGACTAAGCTCGAGGGACTAAGTGTGTGTAAAGGCTCCACTCAATCATTATACCTCAATATATGAGCGTAGTAAACTGTGTCTTCTAAGACGACGGAAGACATTAGATCTCTCATCCGGCGTGACGTAGCATCTCGTTATAAATAAATATATATATATAGCATCCGGGCATCACTGTAGGTGAAGCTTTTCCATAGATACGCTAATCTAAACGAGAAGTCCGGGCCAGGGGTACATGCAATTTTAAACCCGCGTTAATAATTGGCAATTAACATTTCTTATGCAGGTGACAACGGGTGTGAATAAAAATGAAATCTTTTATCTTTGTAAATTGTAAATCTAAACTATTTTAACTTAATAAATCTGCAAAATTACACCCATATATATAAGCCTCAAGCAATACAAACAATTAAACAATGATACAATTAAATACTATAAGTTATATGGTTCGCTACTGACCCCCTACGGATCCATAGAGCGTTAGTAAAATCCTATGTATTTTATTCACCCTTTATGGTCCGTAGGGGCAGAGACATATATACGTATATATGTCTCTGGTAGGGGGTCAGTAGTGAACCGTATAACGAATTTATCGCACGCGGGACTTTTTCTGCTGCGTTTTGTACAAAATTAAACAATGAAACACAACAACATTAATAGATGACGTCACCATTAACAGTAGACGTGACGTCATGAACCCCCTATGAAATTTACTAACCCCCTAAGGATCCATGATAGAGGGTCACCACGTGATGGCGTTAAACCAATCACAACGTGACAATTTACCCGCGGTGCGATAAAATATAATGTTTTATAAATAGGCCTAAGTGTTATCAGTACTACACTTAAGTTGATGCATATAACTTATATTGGGTATCTTTATCATGTTTATCGAAAATTGGTTTTGGTGAAATTGAAATTGTATTAAAACGTTAACATTAAAAAAAAAATCTTTTAATTTTTTTTAGAATTATACATCATTAAACTGACTGCCTAAGAGGGCGCCCGCTCCAGTCATGCTTCAGTGATTCCCTATATATACATGTAATCAACCAAATTTTTCCCACAAAAGGGGCCCCCTGGATCCGCCTATGGTTTACACAATTACTTAAAAGTATATGAAACATTTAGAGTGAACCTTTAAAAATATAATAAATTTTCAATTATATTTTGACCGATGGATTGATTTAATACAGAAATTGTAGAAAACCCGACTTGAAGAGTTCCACGTAAGTTAATTATTATCAGTCTTGTAACGCCAGAATTACTGATTGAACAGTTACGTTGGAAAACAAGAATTCCCACATACCTGCACACACCGACTGAAATAGAACTGCATGTTACACACACTAAAAGGGCTATACTAGGTATACGAGATGTATCTAGCTTCTCTACATATTACAATACATTCAGTGCCCTTATGTGCCAGAATTATAAGTTCTGCTTCACGAACACTTGCAAAGTCAACCATTCCGGTGAATTCTCAAACTGCAGGAAGTTGCCGGATTACATGGAAGGTGATATGTGGTACTATTGAATCTGGATCATCTCACGCCATAATTTTTTATGTTCAATTTCAGACACTCTACCACCAAATATAGTAGTCAAAATATTTTTGAAGCTATTAAAAGGGCTATAACTAATTAAAACTTGAACAGTACTGTGCTTTTTATGGTCTGCGAAACACTTTGCTTTGGCGGTCAAGACAGACAACCTTTTTGGTCGATCTAGGAATATCTCGAAGAAGTCTTTGATGCATGGAAGTCTAGTTGGCTTTGAAAACACTTGACAAGCAGGTACATTTAGTAGTTTCTATACCAGGTCAGTGCATGCACAAGTCAAGTTCTGTACTCATAAATTAAAAGTAAGAAGATGTGGTATGATTGCCAATAAGACATATATCAACCACAGACCAAATGACATTGAAGTTGAAACTATAGGCCACCGTACGTCCTTCAGCAATGAGCAAAATCCATACCGCATACTAAGATATGAAAGGCCCATAAATGCAAAAACAGTTCAAACGAGAAAACTAACGGCCTGATCCAAGTACAAAACAATCAACGAAAAACAAATATGATACACAGCAACAATCGACAGCCACTGAATTACAGGCTCCTGAAAGTCACAGTATAGAATGTGGCGGGGATAGACATGTTTGCTGGCGTCATTAAGTCTATTAACCTCCAAAACATGACTGTCATGAAGAGTTGAAGTAAGAATTCCACATTGTTCTGTCAAATACTCAAAAGGCATTTAGTCAATGTCACGAATAGTTGATTATGAAAATACAAGAGATGTGATTGTATTTTACGCGTCGCTGCATAAGGTAAACCAACACTTTTGTTCGCAAGGCAAGCTTAAAATAAACTTTTCTGTTATCTTCTAAATACCAACAGAAAAAAAAATTAAATAAACCGACAACCAAAAAAAAAAAAAAAAACAAAAAAAAAAACAAAAAAAAAAACCCAAACAACAGAAAAAATGTACCATGCACTTTAAAACACTATACTCTCTCTCCGAAGTCGTAAATTATACATCATACATCAAATGCCCATCGGGGAATTGCTGTTCCAGTGGCTGCACTGCACATGATGTAGCAGGTGATAACTTAAAACCATTGTTACAGCATAGGTAACATGCATATTGTTTTTCTTTATTCCTTCACTACATTGCGGTACAACACAAATTTCACACTTTTTACTACTAGATCCGGTGATGTACAGTTGATTTTTTCTTCTTAACATTCACCATGCATCATTTTTTTCTTTTTATGGCCTTGCAACTGAAAGTTAGGGGGCATATTGTTTTACCCCTGTCCGTCCGTCCGTCTGTCCGTCCGTGCTTCCGTACGTCCGTCGTCAACATGTCAGGCTTTAACCAATTTGCATGAAACTTTGATGAATTCTTTATATCTAGTGACGTGAGCTCAATTTTCGATTTTTATAAATTTTCGATATTACGTTTCCAAGTTATGGGGTTTTATTTATTAATTTTCCATTTTTTGGACAATAATTTAAAAGTGCTTCGAGCAGTTTTCATGAAACTTTGGTGACTGGTTTATATCTATTAAAATAACCTCCCTTAAGCTTTTTTATTTTATAAATTGCTGATATCACATTGAGGAGTTATGGAACTTTATTATTTGAAAAAGCGACGGGCGTATCATGCGCTCATGGCGCAGTTCTTTATAATATTTTGGCGCAAATGATATAACCTTGTGAAAGATTGGATTTTGTAAAAAAAAAAAACAACAAACAAATGGCGCAAATGCAATGCGCCCGCATGTACATTATGTAGATATGTTAGTGTATGTATATGATACATGCCATGTAGAATGAGTTTATAATATAAAAATTATCAATCTGTGTGACAAATTATTTTAATTCATCGTTTGAGTATCATTTCTTTTTCTTTTGGCAGTACCCAAATTATTTAAATATACGTAATAAAAAATATAGTTCTGTGGCTTCATATTTTCAAATCTTTTATTAATATATGTACTAAATGAAACTTTAATTTTTTTTAATTGCCCGTGGTGCGTTTAAAAATTTATTTCTTAATGTTTATTTCCTCTATCAATGAATATTCATATATACATCTTAAGTTATGTGTTCGTTTGCATTACTGAATAATTTACTTAATCTATAGCTCATAACATCAACCTTTTTGTTGTTAGTTAATTGTTTATTTAAACAAAAACTTAGTAGTCTTAATTATCACTGTTATCCTTAACTTCGTATGCACCTTGTAATAACCGCTGGATACCGAAAATCTACTATATAGATATAGGAAGATGTGGTGTGAGTGCCAATGAGACAACTCTCCATCCAAGTAACAATTTATAAAAGTAAACCATTATAGGTCAAGGTACGGCCTTCAACACGGAGCATTGGCTCACACCGAACAGCAAAAATTAAGCTATAAAGGGCCCCAAAAATTACTAGTGTAAAACCATTCAAACGGGAAAAGCAACGGTCTAATCTATATAAAAACGAGAAACGAGAAACACGTACTATGAACTACATAAACAGATGACCAGGTTAATTCACCGTTCTAAATGTTTCTTTGATGTCGACATTTGTATTACCCAGATTAATTTACAAATGACCTCGATTTAGGGAAATCAAACAAGGCATACGATAACTCGTGGTTTTGTTTTCACTGCATATATTTGTCAAACAGTAATATACACAAAATCTATATAAACTATATCCCATCTGATATTCTATTTTTTTGGTTTATTTTGTGAATTTTTATTCTCATGAGGCATTCATTCATAAATAAACAAGCCGACTTCGTATCTACGTTAGAAAAAAAGAACATTTATAATCTTGTCAGCTTTCAAGTTTTGACTTTAACAACCGTCATCACAACATGTCTTGGCCATATTTACATAAAAACCATACACTGATTCATTCACGGTGAAACTTTATTAAAAGTTAGCAATTAATCCGGCCTTTTCTCTTAACACTATAAGCTAACAATGCTTCGAATTCGATCACCACCTTACGAACGGATGGTTGCAGTCTTGTAATTGACTGCTCCATAGGCGTACATGCAAAGCAACTGATCTTCTATTTTTTACTAGTCCGCACCACTTCCAGTAAACATGATATCCTTCCACTTTCCTGGTTTGATATCCCCAAAAAGATGCAACATTTAAAAAAAAATCTAAATAGATGTTTCAATTCAGCATAAAATTTTAACCTAACAGAAATTTATTTTTCTTCCATGAAATCTAACCAATTGGGTCTCTTGTTTTAGTCAACCCAAAAACTATTTATAATGAAGAATTTGTTACAATACAGCTTTATAAAGACAAGAAAGAGTATATCTTTTTCTTTTTTTACTACACATGTGTTCAAATAATGACTTCTATGTCATGGTGTTTAGGCTGTACTTCACACCCCTATGCATATAAAATTTGCAACAAAATTCTAGAATAAACAAAATGAATACTCATGTTGGTGTTTTTGGTAACACTATTGATTACTTGTAACACATAAGCACAAACAGTCGTTGTCAGCATGGATAGTATAAGACAAATTCTACTTTTATTTTTTTTAACAGACATATTGAATTTTCAATTGACATTATATTGCAGTGCCGCAGACA